CATCTAACCCAGTTCAAAGCAGATATTGTGGGATTTTCTGCCTTGATATTATGGGATATAGGGCTGTGTGGAAGGGTCCTGGATAAGAGCTGAATAATCTTCCACACAGTCATATAACTCAGAATACCAAGGCAGAAAACCCCACAAGATCTGCTTTGAACTGGGTTATCTGAGTCCACACTGCCATGGGATAATATGTGATTTTATTCAGCTGTGTGGAAGAGGCCTGAGATTACAATTTGACCAAGGCCTATCAGGGAATCCCTCTGTTTATGGAACATCGGTCTGTAAACTATCTTCTACCACAACTAGTGCCCTATTTATATATATATCTCCTCGGTTTCTTTTAACCTCCTTCTGAGAAGATTTACAATTCTATCCTTTCAGCTCTTAAAACAAAATGGCTGCCCTGGGGGAGAAGGGGCTGAGGTAAATCTACCTTGGTTGCTAAGCAACCAGGCAACAAATCCACATGCCTCAGAGCTGAGGATGCAGCACATCTTGGACTAAATAGCCACCTTGCAGCAAGCAAGCCACTGACTTGTCTCCAGGAGCATCACAGCTACAGCGGTTTTTTAGAAAGTAAACTTAACCGATGTCCTAAGAGGCTGAAAAACATGTATTCTTAATGCAGGCAGTTCCTGAGTTACAAACAACTCATAGTAAATAATCTTCTGAACAGGGGAACAGACAGAAAGGAAACACCACAGGGATGTTAGCCCTTCCCTATGCTATTGAAGGCTTTATATCAGGTATGGGCAAACTTGGGCCCTCCAGGTATGTTGGACTTCAACTCCCACCATTCCTAACAGCCTCAGGCCCCTTCCTTTCCCCCCTCAGCCGCTTAAGCGGCTGAGGGGGGAAAGGAAAGGGCCTGAGGCTGTTAGGAATGGTGGGAGTTGAAGTCCAACATACCTGGAGGGCCCAAGTTTGCCCATGCCTGCCACACACACACATATGCACATACACATATATACATACATACCTGTTCCAACTTACAAACAGATTCGACTTAAAATTCTGTCCGTAACTTGGGGACTGCCTGTATTCATGCAAAGGCATAAATGTTGTTGTAATTAATATTAATTGTAATTAATAGTCACACCCCTATGTAGACCGGGCAATCCAGTAACATTTTTGTTTACTTTTACTCCTAAACTATTATTATGTGGTATGTCACATCCAACAATGTGATGTGGCGGCAAAAAAAGCCAATGGGATTTTGGCCTGCATCAATAGGAGCATAGTGTCT